GGCAACCCTGCTGCGGAGTGTTGTGACAGTAGCACTTAAAAATGCAGTTAGCGATGTTGTTAGCTTAGCTGTAGCACCAACTCGAAACCACTCGCCTCTGCCCTCGCCTCTCCACCAAACCAAACATCCAGCATTTTCTTTTCTTTGTCACAACCAGTGGGGGTGGATCCCGGCTCAGACGTGGCCAAATTGACAGGCGCTGACATGCTTGCAATACCACCCCGGGCCGATGGGGGTGGACCCAGAAGAAGAATTAACCAATGCTAACATATAGCATTGGCAGACCTCTCGAAAACGTCTTTACAGGATGGACCAAAAGTTGGCTCTTGGCCCAAAGCTCCGTTCCACATGTCTGTCAATGCTGAGGGGGGTGAATTTTTTTGGTCCACTCTAGTTTACTTGCTGTGAATTTTTGAAGTCTCTCGTTCAAATGAATGGAGCTACGCCGGCTGACGCATGCACAGATGGGTTTTTTCACAATTTTCTTGTGGGCGGGACCACTCGCGGCCATTTTGGATAGCTCCAGTAGAGCACATTTTTTGGCCCATTAGTTAGAACGGCGGAGATAGGCGTGACTCTGTCCGTTAATATATACAGTCTATGGTCACAACAGGGAGAGTGGGTGGCAAACGTGAAATTGATTTCATGTTTAATGACATTCTGCTTTTATTTTTTTTAATTTTTTTTTACTGTCTCATTCTCATCCCTGTAACAAAGTTTTGGTCTGTGTCTAATACAAAAAGACAGAATGTTTATAATGTTGTTGCAATTTTATGTGGATTTGCTGTTATAATAAACAAATACAGTAAATATATACACTATGCTGCAATTTATCTTTTCATTCAAACAACCATTTACAGAAAAATATGGCATAATTTTGCTGATAATTAAAACTTAAAAATGAATTATTAACTAACTCAATTAAATGAATCGTTTGTTGGCCCTAGTATGTATACATCTGAACATGCACTATGAGGTTATGGGACAAAAATTGAGTAAAGTGACAGTGGACACATTCTGACATTATAGTTATTACACACATGCATGACTTGCGAGGTCAGGTCAGCAGTGTTTGTTAGTCATTATTGTTCCAGCATTTATTAATGTATTTTTAAATTACAGCTGGGAAAATTATAGCTGTGAGTTAACTTATAGCCGGTGTCTATGTTTCCTCCGAGGTGCTCCGGTTTCCCCTCCCACTAAAAACTTGTACAATAGATGCAGTCCTCAAGCGCTGGTCCTGACCATAGACTGTATATATTAACGGACAGAGTCACGCCTATCGCCGCCTTTCTAACTAATGGGCCAAAAAATGTGCTCTACTGGAGCAATCCAAAATGGCCGCAAGTGGTCCCGCCCATAAGAAAATTGTGAAAAAACGCATCTGTGCATGCGTCAGCCGGCGCAACTCCATTCATTTGAACGAGAGACTTCAAAAATTCACAGCAAGTAAACTAGAGTGGACCAAAAAAATCCACCCCCCTCAGCATTGACACACATGTGGAACGGAGCTTTGGGCCAAGAGCCAACTTTTGGTCAATCCTGTAAAGACGTTTTTGAGAGGTCTCTACTACTACTTCTGGGTCCACCCCCATCGGCCCGGGTTGGTATTGCAAGCATGTCAGCGCACGTCATTTTGCCCACTTTTGAGCCGGGACCCTCCCCCACTGGTCCTGACAAAGAGCCAGGAATTTTTTAATTTAAGGTCTACAAGAACTATGTACTGTAGTAAAATAAAACATTCTACTAACATTCATGTGACTCAATTTCAGGCTTATGTTTCTTGTTTCTCCTTTTAGGTATGAAATTATTAGTCGTAGTTTTGGGGGTGTTTAATGCGTTGTGACTTGGAATAGTTACCTTAAGCCCAAATAATTGTTTTTGGAATACAGATTCAGATTCAGTTTATTTGCCATTTGCAGTAAAAAAACCACATTGGAATACATTAGCAAAAGTCTCCAGTGTGCACAGACAAATACAGACATAAAACAACATTAAAAGACAAAAATAAAACAAATAAAACAGTAAACAAATGTCACTGTGAAATCGATCGACTAAAACAGTTCAAAACAAGTGCAAATCATTAAAATGCTCTGTTCACACTGGTAACAGCCTGTGGATAAAAACTGTTAGCGTAACGAGATGTTCTGCATCTCAGAGAGCGATATCTTCTGCCAGAGGGAAGAAGCTGGAACATGGCTTTCCCAGGGTGGCCAGAAGAGTCATTGACAATCCTAAGAGCTTTGTTTAAAAGTCTGGATTTATAAAGAACCTCCAGAACAGGAAGCTCACAGCCCACGGTCCTCTTTGCAGAGCGGAGCACCTTGTTTAAAGATCTTTTCTTTATCTGTGATGTTTCCAAACCACACAGACACAGAACTAACAAGTAAACTCTCAATGGTGCAGCGATAAAAGTTAAGCAGAATCTTGGAGTTAGTGGTAAATTCTCCAAGTTTACGCAGAAAGTAGAGACGCTGACGAGCTTTCTTAACAACTCGGTCAGTGTTTTTAACCCATTTCAGGTCGTTAGACAGAGTTAAACCCAGAAACTTGCACTCCTCTACGATCTGCACCTGGGAGTTGTCGATTACGACAGGCAAATGAGAACTATTGCGACTGAAGTCGTAGACCAGTTCACATGTTTTCGATGCGTTCAACTGGAGGTTGTTAGTTTTACTCCACTGAACCACATTTTGTATCTCTGCTCTATAAGAGGATTCATCATTGTCACTGATGAGACCGATGATGGTGGTGTCATCAGCATATTTGATGATCAAGTTTGAGTCAGAGGAGGACACACAATCGTGAGTGTACAAAGTAAAGAGCAGAGGACTCAAAATACATCCCTGAGGAGAACCAGTGCTCACAGAAACAACATCATAAAAACAGTCATTGATTTTCACTCTCTGAGATCTGTCAATTAAAAAGCTAAAAATCCATTTACACATGGCAACACTTAAACCGAGAGACATGAGCTTTTCAATCAGTTTACCTGGGACGAGGCAGTTAAAAGCAGAGCTATAATCGATGAAAAGCATTCTCGCGACAGATTTACTAGTGTCCAAGTGACTGTAGAAAGAGTTCAGAGCAAAGGAGATGGCATCCTCCACACTCCTGTTCTGTCTGTAAGCAAACTGGAGCGGGTCAACGCTCACAGGGATCTGGCTCTTAATGAAGTCCAGCACAAGCCGCTCAAAAGTTTTCATAATAACAGACGTGAGGGCCACAGGACGATAGTCATTCAGGCATGTCACAGGAGTTTTCTTAGGAACTGGAATGATGGTCGACTCTTTAAAGCAGTTTGGCACAGTACAGTTCCTTAGCGACAGGTTGAAAATGTCCTCCTGAGTCACGGTGAAGGTACCTTGATTGAAACACTCAGGGAATACAGTAGGACAGGCATCAGCGGATTCAAAGCGACAGTAGAACGAGTTAAGCTCGTTTGGCAGAGCTTGGCCAACAGATGCAATTTTCCCAGCGCTAGGTTTCCACGATGTGATGGCTTTAATACTGTTCCACATGCGCCGAGGGTCATCTTCCTCAAAATAACTCTTTAACCTGTCCCCGTAACTGCGCTTTGCAGATTTAATAGAACGTTTCAATGAGTAACAGGATAGCTTATAAGCAACTGTATCATTTGATTGAAACGCCAACGCACGCTCATGAAGTTTCAGTTTCACTTCCGCGTTCATCCAAGGGTTTTGACTAAAATGTTCTTTAATGACCTTCTGTGGGACACAGCCGTCAATACAGAAGCGTATGTATCCAGACACCGCGTCACAGAATTCATTGACGTCCTCTGACTGAAACACAGACCAGTCAGTAGCATCAAAACAACCTTGTAGCTTCATGCTAGCCTCCTCAGACCAACACTGCACAGTGCGAGAGGTTGGTTATGTTCCCTGCTCCTCTGAGTATACGAAGGAAGAAGGAGAACAGAGGAGTGGTCAGACTTTCCAAAAGGAGGTCTGAGACTGGACCTGTAAGCTCCCTTCACGTTACTGTAGCAGTGATCCAGAACATGTGCTCCTCTTGTAGCTTGAGTCACGTGTTGGTAAAAGTTCGGGAGTACAGTCTTTAAATTACATTTATTGAAATCCCCAGCAACAATGATGACTGCGTTAGGATGAGCAGACTCATGTTTGTGAAGGATCTCGCTCAGATCCTGTAGGGCTACTTTGTAATCCGCACGTGGGTGAATGTAAACAGCACATAAAAATATCACTGAAAACTCACGGGGAAGATAAAAAGGGCGGCAGCTCAAGACCAGGCATTCCAGATTGGCAGTACATGTTTGGTTCACGATTCGAGTGTCCGTGCACCAGCGCTGATTAATTAAAAAGCACACACCTCCGCCTCTGGACTTGCCCGTGGTCTCCTTCACTCTGTCCGCGCGGTGAGCGGTGAATCCCGGGGGCTGAACAGCAGAGTCCGGGACGTTCGAGTGGAGCCACGTCTCTCTGAGACAGAACACAGCGCAGTCCCGGGCCACGCGCTGGCTCTGTACCCGACACAGGAGCTCGTCCGTCTTGTTGGGCAGAGACTGGACGTTGGCCAGGTAGATGGAGGGCAAAGGGGTCCTGGAGGAGCGGCTACGAACGAGCAGACCGCCTCGCCTTCCACGGTGTCTGCGCCTCCTTCGCCGACTCGAGGTGCCCAGCTCCACACCGCGGAGAGAACGCCGGAGACGCCCAGTCCCCTCGCTCTGTTGGCGGCCGCCGCGGCCCGCCTGCCGTGCTCCACCAGCCTCTCGAGTGGGACACTCGAGGAAGTTTGTGCACCTCAGTTCAGGTAAAACGAGTGACCCGTCACCCGCGTGATCCCGAATGTGCAGAAGTGTTTGCCAATCATATTTCACTGTGGCAAGTGAATCCCAGACAAAAAACAACAAAACACAGATTGTGCGCACCAGAGCGTTCACTGAATACAAATGTCTTGGTGCGAGTCCAATCCTCCCACCATACCAATTCACTAATAACACAACCATATATCTAAACCTCCTAACCCCCCCCCCAACCCATAAACCCCCAACCAAAACCCACAACCCCACAACAACAATAAACCCAACTACCCCCCCCCCCCAACACCACACCCCCCCCAAACCCCCCCCCCCCCCAACCCCCCCCCCATATCAATATCCTCCATAATCATCCTATCCCACCCCTATAACCCCACCACCCATACAAACAACCAAAACCAATCCAACCCACCCCAACTCCCCCACCACCCACCCACCCCACCTACCACACATTCCTACCACAACCCCCAAATTACACAAACCCCCCCCATTAACTCCCATAACACCCACTCACCCCAAAAAATACCCCCCCCCATCACAACAACCTATCCTCACCTAAAACCAAACAACCCAACACATCAACACCAAACATCACTCACAAAACAAAAACAACCCACTCAAAACCATCACCAAAACAAAACTATAAACACAACACCATAACATACCCATTAAAACCCCCAACCAAACCCCCCCAAATACAAAAACCCCCAAACACCCACCCACAACCCCCCCATCATCATCCCCCCACCCTTCCAAACCATCATCCCCCCACCCTATCCATCTCCCCCACCACCCCCACCCCCCACCCAAACCCCCACCCCAACCCCCCCCCCAACCCCAACCACCCCCCCCCACAACCACCCCACCACCCCCACCCAAAACACACCACCCAAACCACACACCCCCCCCCCAACCCCCCCAAAACCCCCCCCCATAACCACCCCCCCCACCACCAAAACCCCCAACCAACCACACCCCCCCCCCCCCCCCCCCCCCCCCCCACAACCAACCCCCCCCCCCCCACCCCCACCCCCCCCCCCACCCCCCCCCCCCCCACCACCCCCCCCCCCACCCAATACCCCCACCCACCCACAACCCCCCCCCCCCCCCACCCCCCACTCCTTACTTTATATTTATTACATTCTTCATTTCCCCCCCTCATCCCCCTTACAACAACCTTCCCCTACACCTATCCATTCACATCCTACCCCCCCCCCCCCCCCCTATTCCCACCAACCCTCTTTACATTCTATACCTTCTATTCACCCCCCTTTCCCCTCCTCACATCCCCCTCCCCCCTTCTCACCTTCAATTATCCTCCCCCCCCCCCCTCCCCCCTCCTTACATATTCCCCCCCTTCCCCATCCCTTCCCCTTTCCTTCCCTTACCCCCTACTCCCATCCTCCATAATTATATCCCCCCTGATCCCCTCCCACCCATTCACCACACCTCTTACTTTCTTATTTACCTATACCACCCTTCTTCCCCACCCATCCCTTCTTTTTATCCCCTCCTCAACCCCCCCCCCCTTCTTCTAAACAATTACTTATTACCCATACCCCTTATCCCTCTTACTTCCTCTCTTACTTCCCCACTTCCCCCCCCCCCCCCCCCCCCCAATAAATCCCCCCTAACCCCAAATTCCCCCAACTATTCAACCCAACCAACAAACTTATAACCCAAAACATTACCCCCCCCCCCCATCCCCTTCATCCCCCCACCCCTCCAAACAATCAACCCCCCACCCCAAACCCCAACTCCCCCATCCACCCCCACCCCCTCCCCCCCATTCCCCCATCCCCCCCCATCCCCCACCCCCTTCCCAACCCCTCCCCCCCCAAAACCCACCCCCCCCCAACCTCCCCCCCCCATCCCCCCCCCATTTCAATCCACCCCCCCATACCCCACTCCCCCTCCCCCTTATCCCCCCACCTTTTTTTCATCCCCACCCCCTCCCTTTCCCCCCTTCCTTCCTACCCCATCCCCCCCCCCCCTCCAACAAACCCCCACCTCACCACCCCCCACCCCCCCCCCACCCCATCCCAATAAAATTTACCACCCCAAAATAATTCCTCCCTCAACAACCACAACCACACAACCACCCTCACCCCTCACAAACCCCTAAACCAAACCCCAACCCCAAACACAAATACCCCCCAATCCATACCAACTCAAACCCATCCCAACATACCACTCCAACATCCCCCAATCCCCACCACACTAAACAAACCCCCCCCCTCCCCCATATACCAACACAAAAACCATTAAACCCCCCACACACACACCCCACCCCCCCCTACCACCCCCCACCCCACCCAAAAACCCATACCCCAACAACCCCCCACCAACCCCCCACCCCCACACCCACCCCCCACCCAAAACAACCCCCCACCCCCCCTCCCCAACCCAAAAAATCCCACCCCCATAAAAACACACACAAACCACCCAACCCCCACAAAACCCCACAAACCCCACACCCCACCACCTACATAAAACCCCCCCCCACCCCCCCAAACTACCCCAAACCAAACCATCTATATCAAAACCAAAACACCCAAAAAATACAAACCCAACAACCCCAAAAATCCCCCCAATAAACCACCCCCCCCCACAACCCCCCCACACACAACCCCAACACCCAAAACCCCATACCCCTCACCCCACCCACAAAAATATACAACATCCCCTAACCCCCCCCCAACACCCCCCCAAACCCCCAAATATCCATACATATCCCTTCTTACACACCCACCCCAACCCCAACCCCAACAACCCCCAACCCACAACCAACCACCCAATACCCCTAAACACCAAAACTACAACAACAATCCACCACCCACCAACCCCCCCACCCATACAACATCATCCCCCACCCCAAACCAAACCCACCCATACAACCCCCAACACACTACCCTAACTCTCCACAATCCCACACCCAAACACTCTTCACCCCAAAATAACACCCTTCCAAACCAACCCCACAAAAACAATCCCTAACCCCCAAAAACAACCCACCCAACCCCCCCCCCACAACACAATCACTCCAAAATAAAATCTCACACATCTCCACCAAACAACCTCACCCACCCACAACCCAAACCCCCAACATCACACTCACCAACAAAAAACACCAAACACCCCACCCACACAAAAACCACACCCACCCACCCCCAACCAAACACTCACCCAATACACAACAACCCCCCAAAAACAAAAAAACATCCCCACAATATACAAATAACACAAACATCCCCCACACACCTCACCACACCCACCACCACCCCCACCACCCCCCAAAACACCCCCCAAACCACCCCAAACCCAAAACTATTTATAAACCCCCCCCTACCCTCTCATCCCCCCCCTACACCAACTCCCTCCCCCCACCCCATACCCCAATCCTAAATATCTACCCATACTTTCTTCATCACACATCTATATCTCCCACTCCATCACAAACCCTCATTTTCAACTTTCCCCCTATTTTAACATATCCCAACCCTTCCCCCCCCCCCTCCTCCCCTACACCCCTAAATCTACTTATTCTCCTAAACCCTCAAATTTCCAATCCCCCCCCCCCCCCCAACATTCCAACCTTCCCATCCAACCCCCATCTACCACACTCCCAACAACCCTCTAACCACCTACCCACAAACACCCAACCCCAAACAAATCCACACCCACACACAAACCAAAAAAACCAAAACAACCCCCACATAAACCCCCCCCCCCCCCACCCCCCAACCCCCACAACAAACAATCCAACACCACAACCAACAAAAATCACAATCAAACACCCACCACTCCTTCCTCCATCCCCTAATCCATCCCACACAAAAAAACAAACCCCATCCCCAACCCCCCCACACCCCCCCCCCCCAAACCCCCCCTAAACACCAACCCCCCACCCCCTCCTACACAACCCACCCCAACACACAAGAACCAACAAATCAAAAAACCCCCCCCATAACAACAACCCCCAAAAACCCCCACCCACCAACTACACCAACCCAACCCCTAAACACCCCACCACCACCCCACCCAAACAATCCAACACACCACCCCCACACCACAACACAACCCCCCCCCACCCACCACCCCCCCCCCAACCACCACCCTAACCACCCCCCCCCTACCCCCACAACCCCCCCCCACAACCCCCCCCAACACAACAACAACCACCAAACCACCCCCACCCCCACCCACCACACAACACAAACACAACCCCAACCAAAAACACCCCCATAAAACACCCACCAACCCACACCCCCCACCACACCCCCACCCCCCCCCCACCACCAAAAAATACTCAACCCCAAACCCACCCCACAAACCTCCCCCAATAAAACCCCCACTACCCCTAACCCCCCCACCACCCCCCCAACACAACACCCCCCCCCCCAAAAACACCACAACCCACCCTCCAACCCCCCCCCCACCCCCCCCCCAAACAACCCCCCCCCCCCCCCAACCCCCACACCCCCCCCTACCCCCATCAACATACCAACAAACTCCCCCCCCCAAACACAAAACCACCCACCCAACCCACCCCCCCCACACCACACCCCCCCCATCAAATAAATCACCCCCAAAAACCCCCCCCACACCCCAAACAACCACAAATCCATAACCCCACACCCCAAAACCACCCCCCCCCCCCCCACCCCCCCAAACCCACAAACACCCCCCCCCTAACCCACATACCTCACCCCACCCTACACCCCCTACAATTCAAACCCCCAACCACAACCCCCAAACCCCCTAACTTAATACCTACCCACAAAACCCCATTCTATCCTCCCCTATCCACTCTTTACTTTAACCATACCCAAACATATCCACCATTATCATCCCCCACACTCTCCTCCCCCTACCCCACCCTCTCCTCAAATTCACCCACCCCCCATCCCACTCATACCCTAACCCCCAACACCCCATATTCCCCCCCCTTAATAACCCCCCCCCCCCTACCCAACACCCCCCCCAAACCAACCATCCCCCCCATCTTCCATACCAAAACACAACCCCCCCAATACCTACTAATAATATTTCCCCTCCCCCATACAACCCCCTTTAACCCCCCCAACCCCCTCCTCCTCCCTAATCATAATTCCCCTACACCCATCCATACTAAAACCCTTCCTACCCCCCCCCCCCCCCCCCCCCCCCCCACTCCCACAACTCATTCACCCAAACATATTCCCATACCAATCAAATAACTAACCATATACCCAACCCCCACCCACTACCATCCACCCATCCAACCCATACCTCATAAACCCCCCCACCCAACTAAACACCCTCAAAAAACCAATCCCCAACAAAATCACCAATCCCTTTTAACAATACAAACCAACAATCCAAACCACACCACCCTAATTCTCAAACCCTCAACAATCCAAAAAACCAATATAAAAACAAATCCAACAAAAACATACTCTCAAAACAAAACTATACTCTAACAATAACCCAAACACCAATATAAATATCCACCACCAAACCCCAACCTAAATCTTACCCCAATAAAATACCACATAAAAATCCCCATTATTTCATAATAAAATTAACAACAAACACTAAAAACAATATATAATAAACTAACTTTTCCCATACCCCCATCAAACCTAAAAAAAAATAATAAAACACTCCCTCCACCATTTCTATAACACACTAAAAAACTCATAAAAAACTACACAAACCAAACCCCCAACCCATTTCCAAACAATTCTAAACACAAACCCCATCCCACCATACCAAACAACCCCCAACCCCCCTACCACATAACTCTAATACCCCCCCAAAAATAAAAATTTTCACAACCCACATCTCATAACCATCAATTTTTTCACTTACCTAACCACCTCAAAAAACATCTATAATACTAAATAAACTAAACTTCCTATACCCCCCCCCCTACCCCCCAACCTCCTATACAAACTATCCACCTATACCTTCCCCCTAATCCCCTCATCCCCCCCCCTCCTCTAAAACTACCTATTCTTTTTTTTACATCAAATAACCAATAAACCTCATCTTCCAACCCTACCCTCTAACCCCCTCTATAATAATACCTCCATACTCTCCACCCCCCACACCCATATTTCATCTTATTATTCTTACCACATACAAATCCAACCCCATCCCCTTTACACACTCTAAAATCAATAACACCCAATCAACCTCATCAACCCATCACATAATCCCACACCCTACTCATACACCTATCAAACATTCCCCCATTTTTACAACTTCCCCCATCCTAACCATTATTACCCTCCCCCAATACTTAACCATCACACCATACAAAACCTATCTAACCCTCCCACAAAAATACCTCCCAATAAAAAACATAACAAAACACAAAACCCTCCACCATCACTAACCATCCCAAAAACAATAACATCAACATATTATCAAACCCTACTCACCCCAACTCCACACCCCTTAAACTATTATTACACACCCATACAACAATATCCTCAATAACTTCTATAACACCCCCTAACATACCCCAATTCCAAATATACAACTAACTTTATACTTACTACTCATTCCCCCCACCCCTCCAACCTAAAAAATTCTCACAAACACCACCACACTCACATCCCCCCTCCTTTCCATCCATTCTCCCTCCACCACACCACATTCTACCCATTACCCTTCAAATATACCCTATTCCCACCCCCCTTCCCCCCCCCCACCCCCCCCAAACCCCACACCACCCCCTATTTAACCCAAAACTCCATACAATACAAACCCCACCTATAATATCCATACCTATAACACCTTCAGCTAACCAATAACACTTCACCAAAAAAATATCACTAATCAATACCTCCACACCAAAAACACCCACTCCCCCAATCCTATCCAACTAAACCAAAACATATACAATCCCTTCCTACCACCACATCCTAATTTCCAATAAAACAAAAATCCCCTCCTCTCACTCCCTAACCCACCCATAAACCACCACCCCCCAAAAACCTCCATCCCAACCCCCAACCCCCCATAAACCCCCCCTAATATCCCTCCCCCCTCCACCCAATATCCTTATCCTTCTCATATCTCATAATAAAACCCAATTATCCCTCTACTATATCCCCCCATTTATATAAAATCCTACCCTAAACCCCCTAAACCCAAATCCACCCTACACTCCCCCCCTCCCATACATTCTTCCCCCCCCATCCACCCTACACCACCACCCACCCCCTTCACAACAACCACCCACCCCCCCAACCCAAATTTTCCCCCACCCCACCCACAAACCCCAATCATATAACCCAAAACCCACATCCCACCCCACCACAAAAACAAACTTAAAAAAAAACCTACACCAAAAAAACCAAACAAACAAACACCAACAATCCACACAAACAAACATAACAGACCACCCCAAAACCAACCCCCCAACAAACAAACATACAAAACCAAAAACCCCAAACAAACAAACAAACAAACATACAAACCCCCATATAATCAACCCCAAAAACAAACAACAAACATACAAAACCCAAAAACCCCAAAAACACACATACAAACATATAATCCTACATAACAAATTTTTCCTTAATATTCCCCCCAATCCCATTCAATAAATTCCCCCTCTTACCCTATTTCCCCCTCCCCTCCTCCCCCCCCCTAACCTCCACTTACCCTACCTCTCCCATTCTCCCCCTAATCCCTTCTTCAAAATTCTCCATCCTTATCATCATTCTCATCACCCTAATCCTTACTAATATTTCTACCAACCCATTCTCATCCCCATACCCCCTTACACCCCTAAACCCTACCCTAATCCCCCTATAACACCAAAAAAAAAAAATTCCCAATAATACCACATAAACTTCTAAATTCCCTCATATCTCTCCACCCATCCCTCCTCCACTACCCCCTAACTAAATACATTATACCATCCCCTCACACCCCCAACCCATAACCATCCCCCCCCCCATACTAAAACTACCCCCCCCCCCTCAACCAACCCCCACAACCTTATAACAACCCCACATCAATTACAAAACATATTCAAAACCAAAACTACCTCATACCTCATATATCAATTCCACCCCAACACATTCCTACAACCACCCCCCAAAATCCCTACATCATCCCTCACTTCAAACTCCCCAACAATAAAAACACTACATATCCACCATCATCCTTAAACTCTCTACCCCCTCCCCTATACCCCCCCCCATAACCACATTTACCCACCAAATACATCCACCCCCCCCAAACCACTACCCCCAACCCCCCCACCTACCTCAACTACAACCACAATCTCCAACATCCACCACCCACCCCCAACCCACCCCAAATCACCAACAAACCAATCATCTCCCTAACCCCCACCCCCAACCCCAAACACCCCCATCCCACACCCCCCCCCCCCTAAACCCCTCTTCACCACCACTCACTACCCCCTAAAACCTACCATAACTCCCCCTACCTCACCCTTTCCCCCTACAAATTTATATACACCTCCCACCCCCACCCCCCCAACCCCCCCCCCCCCCCCCCCCCCCCCCCCCCCCCCCCCCCCCCCCCCCCCCCCCAAACTCAAATCTAACCTCCCTCCCCACCCCCCACAACTAACCTTCCCCCCTCCAACCACCAACCACCCATCCTCCCATACTCCTCCCCATACCACCAACCCACCCACCCATCCTCCATATCCACCACCCACCCCACACCATCTCCCAACCTTTCCCCCCCTCCCACCCCCACCCACCCACCCATTCCTCCCATACTTCCCTTCCCACCCCACCACCCACCCATCTCCCATAATCCACCCACCAACCCACCCATCCTCCCATACATCCCACCCACCCACCACCCAATCCTCCCATACTTTACCACCCACCCACCCACCCATCTCCAACTCCCCCACCAACCAACCCATCCTCCCATCCCCTCTTACCCCTCCAAACCACCCACCCACACATCCTACCATATATACCCACCACCCACCACCATCCCCACCCATTCACCCACCCACCTTTCCCCCCCATACTACAACACCCACCCCCACCCACCCCTACACAAACAAATAAACCTCTACCACAAATCCCCAACCCCATACCACAAACTAAAAACAATACCCCCCCCATCCATACAAACAACAAAACCACATACAAACAAACAAAAAAACAAACAAACACCCAAACTAACAAATTACCCCCCCCCCCACCAACCCCATCCCCTATCCAACTTACAAACTAACATCTCATATCATTCTCCCCCCACCCCTAAATTCACCCAATCCCCCCCCACACCAATTAAATAAAATACTACCACCATCCACAACCATATTTATACCATCTACACACCCTCACACACCCCCACAAACACACACAAACAAAACACACACACATTCTCACACAACCCCACACACACACAAACACAAACCCCCCCTCCCACAACACACCCCCCCCACCCCACTAACACAATACCCCCACCAAACCACACAAACACACACAAAAACTCACTACTATATCCCCCCCCTACCAAAACAAATCACAAACCCCCCCCCCATTCCCCATCCCATCCCCAATCCCCACTAACCTCCAACCCCAATATCCAAATCCCTATCCATAACCCCAAATCTCAATACACTCCTCCCCAATCCATAACCCTCACCTATATCCATCCCCCCATCCACCACCACCACAAAACACCACCCCCCCCACCTAATAATAATAATCTCTCTTCAACCATAATTTCCCTAAACCCCCCCCCAAAATTCATCCCACTAACCTAACCCCTAAACACCCATACCCCTATCCCATAACCCCTAACACATAAACCCAAAAACCATATTAACACTAACCTCCTAACTAACCCAAAACCAAAAAAAAAATATCCCATACCTCACCCACCAAAACAAACCCCCACCTCTACAACCACACACAACACACACCAATACATATACACAAAAAACATAAATATATACCACCACATAAATATATACACAAAAAAAAACAAAAATACACACACACCCCACACAACACACACACAAACCACATCACATACACACAACACCTACATCAACACCATACCCCCCATTCTTCTCTACAAAATCCCACCCCCCCCCCCCCCCCCCCCCCTCAAAAAAATAAACACATTTATCCCACACTTATAATACCCAACCAATCACCACCCAACATCCATAAAATACATCATTTAAATTCTTCCCCACATCCACCCTACACCCACCCACCCAAACACCCACAAACATTCATACACAACCACCCACCCCAACCAAAATTCCCCACCCCACCACAAAACCAAATCAAATCCAAAAAAACCAATCCCACCAACCCACAACAAAATAACTTAACAAAAACCCCCACCACAAAAAAACCTAAAAAAAATAAAAACCAAAAAAATCAATAAAAAAAAAATTACAAACACAAAACACAAAACAAAAATACATACAAACTTATACTCATCAAATCAACATAAAAATAATACATACAAACACCAAACAACAAAAAAAACAAACATAAAACAACATAACAACAAATAAAAATATATATATAAAAACATACAACAATACAAACATAAATAAAACAACAAAACAACCCCAAACCAAACAAAACATACAAAATATACTCCACCCAAACCTACCAAAAAAAAAATAATATCAAACATATACTACAAAACAACCCAAACAAAAAAACATACAACACCCAAACCAACCAAACAAACAAACATACAAACATATACTCCCCAAACCAACCAAAAACAATAAAAATACAAACCATATAACATAAATTTACAAATTTTTCCCTTATATACCACCAACCCACTCACCTTCAATTAAATTCAATCTATTTACCACATTAACACTAACCAAACATAACCCCCCACCTTAACACTTTATCAATCAATATATCACCACTTATCAAAAATTTATTACATAATTGCCTAACCCAGCCATACCTAAATAAATTATCCAAAGCTCATCAATTAAGAGCTATAGCAAATGGATGTTATTGATGTTGAGCATATGCACTGAGGACTATAGACTCTTTCGGATGGAAAGACTATTAAATGATTTAGTTCCTCACATTGCTGACCACAGATTTATACTTTTATGCAACATTGCATGACCGCTCTTCAACAGCAGCATGTTACATCCTCTCACAAACGAGGAAAGGCTAAAGTCCTAAGCGTACATCAGACTGGCAATTATTATATCGATCATATGAGTTTTTCCACGCCACATCGACAATCTGGGGGGGGCACGAAAAAAATTGAAACCTCCCGTAGCAGGACCAGTCTGGGAATAAGGCGGTACAGCGACAGCACTGGCCTCAAACTACGATTGTGTTTTCTGTACATAAACCTGTTGCGGGCTGCAATAACTCAATCACAGCCACGTTTTCAGCGCGGGACGGCATGGAGCGCGCACATCGGGCCATCTCTACGAAACTGAGACAACTATGTTGCTGAAAAGTAGAACACGTGCAACTGACTGAAACTTTGAGAAACGACTGTTCACTCCAGATTGTACAGAGCGCGCCATTCGTCCCGATTAAAACTGATCATCTCCCTCATCTCCTCAATTCGCACATGCCGCCCTAGCAATTGTCTCATTTGCCACAGTCGTATGAATCAAGGCTTAACTTAGCTTTTATGGTTGCCCAGTTACCTACTTCCACAAATCTGTACTAATATTGTTTTCAGCACCGCCGCCTAATTAGCATACGGAACACAGAAATTACATACAAATACTAAATGAAGAAAAGTAGTACATAATAAATAAATAAATGATAGAAATGTAGCAACACAGAAATACATAAATAAATAAAATAAATAAAATGAAGAAATTTAGGAAATAATAACTAAAAAAATTAGAAATTTAGAAATCCATAAATAAATATATGCAATAAATGTATAAAAAATATATTAAGGAAAAAATTTAGGATTTGATAAATAACCTAAAATAAACGTTTAAATAATTTTGATATCTATTAATAATTTAAACAATAAATTAAATATATATTTTTTAAATTCCAAAAATAATGTATTTATTAATTATATTCCTGAAATTATTTATTTATTTAAACTTTATTCCTTTTTTACTCCATCGCAGTTCTTTATTCTTTCTTTATTTCCAATGTAACGGGTTGTAAACTTTGTCGTAACTCACCCTGTTTTTTTCACGGACTCGTTCACATTTGAAAAGTCACCATCTCACATGCGCCTTGCACCCGCAACACTTTATAATATTTAATTGCTTTCACAATGACTTTTTAAAAACCTTATGAATTTTTATGATAATTCTTCTGAAAAATTTTCGAGAATACAGGAAACTTTATTAATACACATATCAATACCAAAAATATATTTCAAAATAAACCAAACTAATCAAATTTAATTCCATCTATCAATACACATAAAAAATAACAACAAACTAACATATCTTTTTTAAAATTTTTTTAGTTATACATAACAACTATTCCCCCAAAAACATGGAGTTTAACAAAATACCTCGATAAAATAAACTAACATTCACAACACATATTAAACAAACAAAAAACTATTCAAAAATTAATAAACCCATCCATATCAATCATAACCTTTTAAATATATAAAGCCTCATCATACACTCCACATCATCCTCCCAAAACACAAATCACATAAATACACACAAACCTTTACAATTACAAAAACCACTCTATATCAATCTCATTCCCTCCCAAAATACAACTAATTAACACCTATTCTATCACCCCCAAATCTACTAATACCACCCACCTTACATTTCCATTACATTATTTAACAACTCCCTTATAATCTTCTAACTAAAACCAAACAAACCATCAACAATCCAATCAATATTTCCTTAATTAATACTACCCACTCATTCTTCCACAAATCAACCAAACAAAATCAATCTCATATCAATCCTTAACACAACACCAACCACCCAATTTCATACACACCAAAAATCTAAAACTAACTAAAAAAACCAAAAACCACACTTAACCAAAATCTTCCCACTCCAACCTCAATACCTCAATACCTCCCCCAAACACCCCCCACAAACAACCTAATCACCCTAGATCTAATTCCAACCTATCCCATTACTCCAACTTTCAAACAATATAAACCATAAACTCTATATTAATCTTTTCATTATAAATCAAATTCATATTACCTCCTACTTCATCCTCAATTAATAATAAATTTCACCCTCATCCACAATTCATTTATCTTCTTATATCTACATCTCACCATCCTTAAACATTAAAAAATCTCCACACCGCCACTTAACTATTCCATCTTAATATACAATATCCCAACCATATCTTCAACATATCCCCCACTCAAACCATCCTTACTATATTTATTATACACAACCATTAAACACAACACAAAACTACAACACCTGCCTTATTCAATCAAATGTAACGTAAAATATCCCACTTTCTTTAACATGCTCAATAATTAATTTCCCCAAAATCCCAATTTTTTTAATTCCAACACACACTAATATTAACATATAAAAAATAAAATTGTTATTATTACAATCAAATAACATTTACATCAATTATAAGTTGAAAATAAATCATAATTATAAAATCTCATCACTATATTATAAACCCCAATTACTGCGCTATTAAAAAACAAAAAAAAACAATAATCAATTTAACAGCCCTATTATAAACCTTTATAAGATTAATAGAACATTAATTTCATCCCACATTTTTGACCCCATACAGATTTTCAAAACAATTTACCCAATAACCATTATTCAATATTGTCGCACAAAGCACAGATAAATTAACAATAAACTCTACAACAAAAATAAAATACTATCATAAAAAAATTCATAAACAAAACATACCACATAACCACATTAAATTACCACATAAATCTAACTTAATTATG